CCCCTCCCAGCTGCGGCAGGAGAACAAGCGGAGGCGGTGCCGGGTGGGCGTGGCCAGGCAGCGCTGGCTTCCCCGGGCCGCCATCCGGGGGGGGGGAGGGAAGGAAGGAAGGAAAGGGAAGGAGGGAGGGGAAAGGAGAAGGAATGGGAAGGAAGGAAAGAAAGAAAGAAAGAAGCCTGGTCCGGCGCGCCCCTGCCTGAAGCCGCTCCGGAGGGAGAGAGAGAAACGGGGCTTTGCGCCAGGCCAGGCCAGGCCGTGCGGGCCGGATAAATGCCCTTGGCGGGCCGTATATGGCCCGCGGGCCTGAGTTTGGGGACCCCTGCTTTAAATAGATGTATGCCATGCAGTAAACTCGGACAAACTGAAACTGACTTATATGACACCTGAAATGGACATTCATGTTAGTGTCTCATGTTTTGTAAACAAGGAAGTGACCTTTTCAGCATATGTTACAATAGAAGTATTTTTCTCTTCTGTTTAATATCTTACATTACTGACAGCGCGAGTAATTTTAAGATTATATATCATCTTAAAGGCCTTTGCTTCAATGCATCTAGTAGTTAAGGTAAATCTGAGTATAATACATGTATAATAAAATATTTTTCTACAAGTGACTAGAGATACCAAAGTATTCAGATGAATAGATTTCTTATGATTACATTCGTATTATGAAGAATAACTTATGAAGGTAACAATCTGATCAGAGCCTGGAAGTGCTGGCTGGATGATGCTGGGAGTTGTAATCCAGAAGTATATTCTGAATCTGTAACTAAATAATGTGATTTTATATATATCTAGTGCTGTAATGTACTGAAACCTCCACCCCACCCTTCTTCATGGGTACATTTAGGGAAAGAGAAGAATTATTACTCAGAGCCAAGCTTTTTCTTTGCCTAATACAGGGGTCCTCAAACTTTTTAAACAGAGGGCCAGATCACAGTCCCTCAAACTGTTGGAGGGCCGGATTATAATTTGAAAAAAGCATGAATGAATTCCTATGCACACTGCACATATCTTATTTGTAGTACAAAAACCACTTAAAAACAATACAATAATTAAAATGAAGAACAATTTTAAGAAATACAAACTTATTCGTATTTCAATGGGAAGTGTGGGCCTTCTTTTGGCTGATGACATAGGAATGTTTTTGTTGTTGTGTGCTTTCATGTCGTTTCAGACTTAGGTTGACCCTAAGCAAGGGCCGGGTAAATGACCTTGGAGGGCCGCATCCGGCCCCCAGGCCTTAGTTTGAGGAACCCTGGCCTAATATGTTAAGTGATAAATGAATAGATTTGTTTACTTTAAAGTATTAATGTAATTTGTAGTCACTGTACAGTCACCAAGCAATTTATGATTGTGTCACTGTCTGCCTGAAATGAAAACACTGCCATTAGCAAATTCTATTCTGTCTAAATCAGAAGTCAGTTTTCATTTTCCCACCTGGAAATTTTCTGTGCTATATACATAAAAGATGTCTGTCTGTGTACGTGTGCGTACGTGCCAACACATTGTCTGTTGACTTAAGGCAACACCATGAATTAGGGGTTCCTTAGGCATGCAATACTCAGAGGTAGTTTTGCCAGTTTTTTTTCTGAAATATTGCCTACAGTACCTGGTATCCTTGATGGTCTCCCATCCAAACACTAAGCAGGACTTGGCTTTTCAGATGAGGCAAGATCTGGTGCTGCCCTTAAGTATATCTGCAGTCTTGTGCAGAATACTTGCAGTTATTAACTGGCAGCCATCTGCCCTACAGTTTAATCCACAATGCCAAAACCTCCAGAAAAATATCCATATCTAATAGTGCTCTGTCAGGGGTGATTTGAATGCAATATTCCTGCTTCTTGGCAGGGGGTTGGACTGGATAGCCCATGAGGTCTCTTCCAACTCTTTGATTCTATGATTCTGTGAGACTTGTAGGAATGGCAGATATATAGATTTGCTGCAGACATTGAATACACATCTATATTAAATCTCTGATAAATTTCCTTTTTGCCAAAAATTCTGAAATTATTACAAACTAGCCATCCCCTGCAATGTGTTGCTGTGGCCCAGTGTAGTGATCTAGAAAATAAAGTAATGAGAAAGTGCTGGTTTCTAATATATGTCATTTCTTTATGCTTGTGAGGAAACAGTATTTCCTGTTGTTTCTTTGTCAGTGTTGATGTAGAGATCATCTGGTTTGCCTACTCTGGAACATGTAACATATTATTGTACTTTAGGTCAGACCTCACTACCTCTGAGGATGCTTGCTATAAATGCAGGTGAAATGTCAGGAAAATAGAATGTCTACAGATATGTGTGGCTGTGCATATGTGTGTGTGTGTTTATGTTTGTGAGGAAGTGTGTACATATTTATGTGTGCGTCTGTAGGCATGTTTGCGTATATATGTTTATCTGTGAATTGTTTTCTATATCTATGATGGCCCTCTGTTGGGAGGGATTTGGTTGTGTCTAGCCTGTTAGAAGGGGCTTGGACTGGATGGCCTTTATGGGTCCCTTCTTATCTATCTATATATCTACATACTTAGATATATATGAATAGCTATCTATATCTATAGTCGGATCGCCCTTTGTAGGGAGGGCTTTGATTGTGTCCTCCCGCCCTGTTGAATGACTGGGTGGCCTTTGATATTATTATATCTCCCTGTCTCATTTTTATATATATCTATATGTTGATTATATCAATGTCTAGATGGCCCTCTGTCTAGCGGGCTTTGATTGTGTCCTGGCACTGACTGGAGGCACAGTGATGACCGCAGAGAGAAGCTCAAAACAGTAGGAGAAAGGAGGGAAAGAAGCTAGGAGAAGGCAGAGGGGAAGGGAAGCCAATCCTGAAGTTTTTTCATACAAGTTTCTCTGCCTATGGCTGTATCCACAACTGGGGTTCCTCTCCACAGTTGCTGCTGCGGGTTTGCCTCCCTTCGCTTCCCAAATGGCTGAGCCACCTCTTCCCCAGAGTGATGGAGGGCTTCTGAAAGGCATCCAAGGAAGTCTGTGCCTCTGCTTGCCTCCCTGCCTGGATTCCTTGCCTGCCTCCCTCACTCACTCTCTCTGAGTTTCTCTCACTGGCTTAGCAGCTGAGTTCGCTGGAGGGAACAGAAGGGAAACGTTTTTCACGCATGCGTGGAAATGTCTCTGACTTTTAGGGTTTTAAAGTCCTTTCTGCTGTGGGTTTTTTTGTTTGTTTGTTTTATGAGTGAAGGAAATACATTGGATTAGTATGTTTGATGGCCAAATTTGTTGTCATTTGGCCCAATTGAGTTGTTGTTAGCGTCTCATGACGTACAGACCATTTTTATATATTAACTTGTATATAGTTTTCTATAGAATAAGTAATGTTAGAATGACTGGATTGTACATACTGTCATTCGTAAACAATATTTCTGATTTTGAAGATATTAACAATATTACTTGATAAAGATACAAGAGGTAACAGTTGCATATTGTTACCTCTTGTCAAAATTTCAAAGTGGATGGGGAAAAAAATAGTCTGATCCATCGTTTTTATGCGCTGCTATTACTATTTCTAAATAATTTCTGTGTATGGTGTGAAGAACCCTTACCTTTAGCAGCCAGAATGTGGACCTAGCAAGGCCTAGCAGCCTAAACAGTTAGAAGGTGGGCTTAGCAAAGCCCTGGCGGCCATTTTAGATTAGCGAAACAGGGAGATGCCATCTTAGGTCAGGTTTTCTTAGAGGGGGCATGTCCTAGTCCAGTAAGCAAAAAGTAGATGGCCAGGCTTGGTTAGAAATAGGGAGCGGAGCCTAACATTCAAATAGAGGGAAAAAGTTTACTTTTTGAATTTTGAGGCTTGAGTTTTGGCTGTTGGTTTTTGTCAGTTGGGAGTTAGGTTGTCGGATGGTGTTCACAGTTGGTTAGTGTTAGATAGGAGAGCTGGGTTAATCTTTTGTATTCAAGGGCTAGAGGAATTAGCTGGGAATACAGATAGAGTGGTCTGTTCTTTATCCCTGATAAAGGCTAGGCCAAAGGTTATTGGCTAGATTCCAGAAAGGGGGGAATTTTGTTTGGAATTATTATCAGCGATTAATTTCCTGAGATAATCTCCTGTTTTGTTAACATCAAAATTTGAACCCAGAACCCATCTAAGAATTGTACATCAAACGTAACCAGAAGCTTATGTACCAGTAACTTATGGAAACCACTACACATTTGTACCAGAAGAAGTTTAAGCCTGTTAAATAAACGTTTTATTATTGTTAACACATTACAACAGCCTGTGTGTGAACGTCATTGGTATTTATACCCTTTGGGGAAAAATAAACACCATAGTAACACAGAAGGGTGTTACTAAGTATCCTCTCCACACATATAACTCAGCCTGAATACTAAGAAAAGGTGGCAGCGTACTCCAATTGAAGAACGGGACGCGGAACAATAGCTTCAAACTACAAGAGAGGAGATTCCATCTGAACACGAGGAAGAACTTCCTGACGGTGAGAGCTGTTCAGCAGTGGAACTCTCTGCCCCGGAGTGTGGTGGAGGCTCCTTCTTTGGAAGCTTTTAAACAGAGGCTGGATGGCCATCTGTCAGGGGTGATTTGAATGCAACATTCCTGCTTCTTGGCAGGGGGTTGGACTGGATGGCCCATGAGGTCTCTTCAACTCTTTGATTCTATGATTCTATGAAACAGTTACAAAACCTCTCAATTCAGACGTCATTCAAATATAGCTATACACAGTTATATCTTTCCGTGTCTGATAAATTCAAATTCTTTAAAAACTTCTCTATTACTCGACCTTCCTTCTTCCCTTAGTGTGATATATCTTTACAATTGGTGGCATAGCCGTGTGATCCTTCCTGGGATAATCCTTATAACTGGTTGGCAGCTTGTGGGAGTCACTATTTTAAAATTCCCTGCTAAGTTCCTTATAATTAGTGACAATCGGCTAGTATAGGTTCCTTATAATTGATGGTATAGAGGTACAATATCTTGATATATGACTTGTCAATCTGACCTATTTATGGTTTTTTAACAGGTTGGTATTTGGAATGCTGTATCCTGCATATTACTCATACAAAGCTGTAAAGACAAAAAATGTGAAGGAATATGTAAGTATTCTGTTTTCATTYTTCTATAATACAGTGTACAGTCCAGTACATTGTATGATAACTTAATAAAAAAGCAAATGAACTAAAACTGTGAATGTAAGTTAACTTGTTGCAACATGTTGCTGCCTTCCTTTGTGAATTAGTTTCATTGTCAAATATTGGGAGTTGGCTTTTGGGAACATGAGTTTTTAGCCACMGGTTTCCTGTCGTAGTCACCTGTGAATTCGTACATTTGGTATCCTTGCGCTTGCACAATACAACTTTTCAGAACCTTCTAGAAAGTAAGAACACTTTCAGCCCTCAGCTAGCCCCCCCCCCCTCCCGAGTRTATATAGCCCGAGGGCAGGACTAGCCGTCAGTTCTCTTAATCCGCTCGCGACAGCTTTGAGAACCTTCTGTGACATTGCGATTCTTCATCTATATATCCACTATTGGCTTGAACTTGGACTGTTTTTTTCTGACGATTCTTCTGCTCAGCCCTCTTGTTAACTTGGATTGGACTGATTGTAAGGTATTTGACCCCCGGATCGGACTTGACAAATCTCTTCAACAGCCTCCTATTATGGCGACCACTTCTTTCAAGAAGTGTATCAAGTGCCCAAATATCCTACCGGACACCGATGGACACACACTTTGTCTAACTTGCTTGGGAGAGGCTCATCTGACCCAAACTTGTGCCATATGCCTCTCCTTTACTCCTCAAACGAGGAAAAACAGAGTGTCCAGGCTTAGAGCGGCACTCTACGAGAGGGCCCTCATGCCCCCCGCCGCCCCAGGACAAACCACTGAGTGTCCGGACTTACCTTTTCTGGTCTCCTCCTCTGGCCCGGCCAAGAAGAAGGCCAAAAGGCCCAAGTCAAAGGGCCCTCAAGATGGCGGCCAAGCCTCCTCAAAAGAGAAAACTCTGGAGGAAAGAGCGGGAAGACCGCTGGAGGCCCGCCGTGCCGTTGCGCCCATGTCGACTTCGGAGGCCCCGACTGAGGCTGTGCGCCCCCTGCAGGCAGCCGAGGCATCTACGGCGACGTTCTCGACGTCGATCCCACTGTCTGCGCATGCGCCTGCTATCGCGCCGGCCTCCCTGACTCCTCCCACCGCGGCGATGCCGATACTCTCGCCGCCGCTGCTGAGCCGGGCCCGAGAGTCTTCGATGCCGCCGATCTCGGCGGCGGCTGCCACGGCGTCGATGCCTTTGCCCTCGCTGCCGGTCCTCCTCTCGGATGGAGCCCTTACCACCCCGCCTCCCTTGGGCTCGGGGGAGGCGGTTGAAGGGACCCCCCCATCGCGCCCAGCTGGACGACGAGAGCGCCCCAGGAGGGGACGGCCCCGTTGCGGAAGGGGCCTCCGCGGCACCGGTACCGGTGCTTCCGGCCCAGCCTTGGCCGCAGCCCCCCCCCCGCATCGTCACAGCGCGAGGCCTAGGAGATCAAGGTCCCCATCTAGGAGGAGCACAAGATCGCGCCACCGCCGACGTCGGTCGGCCTCCAGACGCTCGCGCTCCTCCTTGACCTCCTCCTCTTCATCCTCCTCCTCCTCGGCCTATTCCAGGCGAAGCAGGCGGTCTAGAGCTCCCAGATCCTCCCGCTGGCGTCAACCCTCTATGGCTCCTCCTCCCTGCCCAGGGTTCTGGCAGATGGGCCCTTCAGGCCAAATGGTGTTCGTGCCGGCCCCCTTACCGGCCTTGCCCATGCCCACCCTCCCAGCTTCGACACTGAGGGCCCCACTCCCGTCGACTGCCTGCCTTTCGACAYCCAGTGAACAACCCTCCACCTCATCTGGACATGCCCTAGGAAGGGCTCCTCTGCAGGGTGCCTCCCTTGTGTTGAACTCTAATGACCTGAACTTGGACAATGCGCCATCGGCGTCGACTTCATCTCAACCCCCGCTAGCGCAGCCTGTCTGCACCCAAAGCAGCCTACCTGGGGATGCTACTGCCGCACTTCTTACCTCTCAAACCAACCTACAAGGTGATTCTACCCCTATGGGACCATCTAGGTTGTCCTCCTTCGAAAACTCTGAGCAAAGAGCCGCTGAGCTGGATAGCTCTGACTCTGAACAAGAACCACCTGAGGTTGCTCAGCATGGGGAGGGGGAGAATACTTCGTTTATTCATCCTGCTGATGTCAATAGGTTTGCAGCACTCATTGATAGAATGATAAAGGCCCTGGACATCCCCGCCCCCAAACCTCCCGAGCACGTGGAGGACCCCATGTTCCCTTCCGAGGAGCAGGTCATAACGCCTGCATCTCCCCTTCCTGTGCTTCCCTACCTCCTGAAGTTGGCTAAAGTGTCAGATATGTCCCCAGCCTTGGTCCCGGCGGTCCCTCGACGGCTGGACTTGTACAGAATTGATGTTTCATCGGCAAAATGGTTCACAGCCCCTCCTAAACCAAACACTGTGGTGGCCGAGGTGGCAAAGACCAAGAGGCCTAAAAATTCGCTCACGGTCGTTCCCCCCCCCCCCGATAGGGAGGGTAAGAAAGTTGATGCTCTGGGGAGGAAAGCCCACCTCTCGGCTGGGTTATTCGCCCGGATGGCCCATTATGCCACCTATGCCAGTGGTTACCAGACCTTTCTGTGGGGAAAGATGTTACAATACATTGAATTGTTACTGGCTGACCAGCAACGGTTCCCCAGGGCATTACAGGCGGAAGCACTTCTATTGTCAAAAATGCAAAAGGATTCGGCCAAACACATGGCTGAGGCCGCGGCCAACCTATACGCTACCGCGACTTCATTGAGAAGGCATGCTTGGTTGCGGGTGTCTAACTTGTCCGAGGAAGGGAAGGCCCTTGCTGAGGACCTTCCGTTCCACGAGGACGGCCTTTTCAATCCGCAAACGGATGATAGGCTGAAACAGAAACAAGACGTGAGACAGGCAGCTGGTAAATTCGGTTATGCGTGGCAGCCTTATCCCCAACAGCGCCAGAGGTGGAACCTGCCTTCCTCAGGCTTCCGAAGGGGTTATGGGAACTCATACGGGAACTCCTTTAGAGCTAGGAATAATAATCCTTCCAGATTTCAGGGCGGACGCCGTGGTCCTTACTTCCCTAGACCCCGCAACCAAGCCTTCGCTAATAAGTCTAAGACCCAGCAATGCCCCAAGAAGCACCTTTGACGCTCTGGCTGCTGTAGATGCCCAGGGACTGACTGAAGTACCTCTGCCTGTTGCAGTTAACTCCATACCTGTTTTTCGGGCTTCCCCACCCGCAATTTCTTCCCTGTTTGAAGATAGATTATTTCCCTTCAGTCACGCATGGTCCAACATCACCATGGATGTTTGGGTACTTTCCATTGTTACTCAAGGTTATGAGATTGAATTTTTTTACTTACCTAGAGTGGGCCATGTCCGACGCACTCTGCCATCGGGCCCTTTGTTGGACGAGGTACAAATGTTATTGGACAAGGGGGCGATATCCCCCCAAGATCCTTCAATGTTTCCATACTGTTTCTTTTCCTGTTATTTTCTGGTCACAAAACGTGGAGGTGGGCTGCGTCCCATCCTCGATCTCAGACATTTGGATAAACACATTCGACCAAAGAAATTCAGGATGGTCACTCTTGCGTCCATTTTACCTTTGTTGTCTAGGGGTGTGTGGTTTGCCACCGTCGACTTAAAAGACGCGTGCTTCCATCTCTCTATTGCGCATCACCACCGCAGGTACCTCGCCTTCATGGTGGGGAACAGGGCCTATTGTTTCAACGTCCTTCCCTTTGGGCTGTCCACGGCCCCCCTGGGTATTTACAAAGTGCATGTCGGTGGTGGCCACATATTTGCTCACAAGGGCGTAACGGTGTATCCCTATATTGACGATTGGCTGATCGTGTCGAGGTCACGGGACCTACTTCAATCCCAAATTTCTTTTGTTCTATCCCTTCTCCAGTCTCTCGACCTGGTGGTCAACCTTGACAAGTCGTCTCTGTCCCCGTCCCAACGGATCGACTTCATCGGTGCCAGGCTGGACTCGGTCTCCCAGAGGGCTTTCCTCCCGCCAGACCGCTTTGCCAAACTGAGGGAGTTGGTGCTTCAAGTCATGCACTCCCTCTCTGTGTCGGCCAAGCAGATCCAGATCCTGTTGGGACACATGGCGTCCACCACGGCTGTTACCCCGTATGCCAGACTACGCATGCGGCCCCTCCAGTCATGGTTTGTCTCAACGTTCAACCCGCTTACGGACAACCCCTCTGTGCGGCTCACGTTACCTGCTGCTTTTCGTCAATCCCTTTACTGCTGGCAGGATATCCAGTGGGTGTGTGCGGGGCTCCCGTTCCACCCGCCCCTCCCCACTCGAGTGATCACTACGGACTCTTCTCTCAGGGGTTGGGGTGCCCATTCCGAAGACCTCATTGCTCAGGGTGTGTGGGTAGGAGAAGAAAACGCCCTTCACATAAACATCTTAGAGCTACTCGCAGTAGAAAGGGCGTTACTCTCGTTCGAGAGAGTCATAAGAGGTCAGGTAGTACAAATTCTCACCGACAACACCACGGTGATGTACTACCTGAACAAGCAGGGAGGCACCCACTCCCTCCCCCTGCTGAATTTGACCATTCAAATTTGGAAGTGGTGCCTGAACCGAGGGGTGCATCTCCTGGCAACTCATCTTCCAGGAGAACAGAACCTGCTGGCGGACTCACTCAGCAGGAGTCCGTTGACTCACCACGAGTGGTCCCTTCACCCCTGGGAGACCCGGAGACTATTCCAAGCGTGGGGCACCCCAGAGGTGGACCTGTTTGCGACCAAGGTCAACTCGAAATGCGCTCTGTTCTGCGCCCGGACTCAAGCGTCAGCAGAGACAGGGTGCTTGGGAGATGCGTTTCTTCTAGATTGGTCGACCCGGTCTCTGTATGCCTTTCCTCCCTTCCCTCTCCTTCTGAGGGTGGTGGCCAAGATCCAACGAGAAAGCGCACGATGCATTTTGATAACCCCGTGGTGGCCTCGCCAACCATGGTTCTCCCCGCTCCACCAGATGGCGAGTGGAGTGTTCTTCCGATTTCCGGACAGG